ACCGAGAATTCACTGAAGATACTGGAATACTCAAATGGCACTGAGTCTCGTTGCAATCATCTTCTGTCTCTACGTGTCTTCTCTCTAGAAACTGTATGAAAAAAAAAAAAAAAAAAAAAAAACAATGAAAATGCATGGCTTCCTGTAATCTGCAAAAAAAACCCCACCATATTAATCCTGGTCAAATGCCTGAAAAAAACATACATATGATTAATGCTGAACATGTCTAAAAAAAGCTTTGATATCAAATAGTAAGTCAATTTGTTATTTCACCATAGCATGATGCTACGTAGCCATTAAAATGTTCATTATAGGGACTATACATTTAAAAACTTGAGTAGCAGAAGTGTTCATTGTTAATCGTTAAACCAACAAATGTTCATTTGTCCTATTCCTAGAGGGCTAGAAACTTAGCTGGTGAAAGATAAAAGCATTTCATAGGAAGAATAATAAAGGTATTACACAAAGGCTGTAAGATCTCTGGGTACTAATATACAGAAGTGAACAAAGCAATCCCTGGTAATTTATCATTCATTCAACTAGGCACAGCGTGTGGATCACCTGTGCGAGAGCATGAAGACACAAGGTAGGATGTTGGTGCCTGACTTCAAATAACTTACAATATAGTATAGAAGGGAGATGAAAAAGAAATGTAACAGAGAGTAAAGAATACTGCAAGAGGAATACTATATGGAACTAGGAATAACCAGACCACAGAAAACAGTGTACTGGGTCAGAAAAGAATTCAAGGTGATACCCCAGTTGACTACTGAAGAATGAGCTGAAATTTACCAAATGGAAAAGGTGGAGAAGGGCATTCTGTGAAAGAGCATGGTACTTTCAGGGAATTAAGAACAATCAGTTCACCAAAGCAGAAGGAAAACATGTTGGAGGGAACCGGGAGACAGGTGGCTGGAGATGATGCAAGAGGTCAAATCATGAAGGCCTTGTAGGCCATGCCATAGAAGGGAATTTAGATATCATTTTGTAGTTGATGGGGATTTGCGAAAAGCTTTTAAACAGCAGAGTAATATGATTAGATTTGCACTTTAGAAAGACAACTCTGCTAGCATCCAAAGTGATGTTTAAAAATCTAAATCAGATGTCACTCTCCTGCTTAAATCTTTACAGGGGCACAGCATCTCACTCAGAATAAAAGTATAAAAGTCAAACCCCTCCAATGCCCTAAGAGTCGTGGCCCCCAGTGACCTCTCTGACCTCACAAGCTCCCCGAACTCTGCCCCAGCCTCACTGTCCCCTTGCTGCTCCCTTCCCATCCTACCCTGCTCCTGCCAGGGCCTGAAACACTCTCTCCATGTATGTCCATGGGGCTCACCTTCTAACCTCCTCCAGCCCTGGCTCCAGCTAGCAGCTTCCCTGAGAGGCCTTCTCTGACCGCCCTACTGAAAATCATTATGCCCCACCCCCATCCTCCTTCCTTGCTCCACAGCAATTCTCCAGAGTTTTGTCTTGTCTATACTGTTCATTGCTATACTTCTGGTGCCCAGAAGGCACACAGTATGTGCTTGATAAGTTTTTGTTAAACAGATTAATGGCAGCACTGTGAAGGACAGAGTAGAGTAGTTCTAAGCCAAGTGTGGACTCCACACCAGTACCAGAATGTAAGTACAGCCCCACAGCTGTACTTGTTCAAATTATATCTTCGTATATTTTCTATCACCACCAGTGAGGAAGAAAAGGTTAAAATTACTGTCATCTTACTAGTGGAGAAATGGAAGTATATGGGAAAAAATCCTAGATTATAGTTGTGCTGCTAAATGCGGCAAAGAAAAAACTTACATGTATTCACCTGGTCACTGTTAGTGATTCATTCCATACCAATTCCTTTCAATAGCATTCACATTTTTTTTTTCTTATCAAAGTCTATGATCCATGAGTCTTACCTGAATATTCATTAAGTATCTTACTTTCATTACACTGCAGAATGAAACACCTTATGCTAGCTACAGAATAATTTCCATTTTGAAAAAGATGAAATAGAAATACATACCTCACTTTCATTCACTCTCACATACACACTGTACATGAATGTATCACAAGAATTCTCATAAAGAGTTCCCCACTCTTCTCCATTTATCATACTTATAGGGTGAAATATGTTAACAATGATTTGGTTTTCCTTCTCTCTGATATCCACTCTAGGTGGTCCAATTTTTCCTGGGAGAAGGGGAGAAAGTATAATTAGTACTGGCCTTGGAACTCCATAGTACATTTCATAAAATTACCAAAATCAATCAATCAACCTCTTTTTTGTATTTGTTGTTGTTGCTCTAAAGCAGGACCACATTTAAAGCACTCCACAAACATCTAGAAGATATTCTAAGTGCCCTTAATATATAAATGTTTAAAATATTTCAGATAAGAAGTATTCTTATCTAATCTAAACTCCTCTTTAACAGTTTAATTTCATTTCTAGTTCTAGAGAAAAACAGTTGGTTATAAACCTTGAATAAAAAACAAAACTAAAAAACAATCTGGACATAACAGAAGCTCTACTAAGGAATTTTTCCTTTATCTTTGCTTCTGTAGATTAAGAAACCTGATTTCTAAAAATGTTTAGTTATCTTTCCTCACTGAAACTGTATCTTCAACATCTATGGGTGTCTGGCATGACGGCTCTGTAAAAGTTTGCATTTAAGTTGTATTTAAACACTCAATTATGGGCCGGCCCGTGGCTCACTCGGGAGAATGTGGTGCTGATAACACCAAGGCCACGGGTTCGGATCCTATATAGGGATGGCCGGTTTGCTCACTGGCTGAGCGTGGTGTTGACCACACCAAGCCAAGGGTTGAGATCCCCTTACCGGTCATCTTTAAAAAAAAAAAATAAACACTCAATTTTTATCGTGAAAATCAGAACTAGATATTCATCTATTTAACAAATATTTATTATGAGTCTTTGATGTTTGGAATTTGGCTGGTGAACCATTCATCTTTTCTTCACATATTCACTGCGTACCTACTGTGTGCCAGGCAGGTCTGTTCTTACTTACCAATATATCCTCAGGGCCTAGTATACTTTCTGGCACACAGTAGGCCCTTGATAAATCTGTGTGGGAAAAACCTGACATCCAGATGGTGTGGTTATCATATGACAAAGACGCAGATTCTGGGGAATACAAATATTTAAAGGGCAAGTAGAGGAGGGCCTGTGGAAGGGACAAATGGCAGGTGGTCGTGTAGTGATAAAGCACGGAAGCTGGACAAGGAAGCAAGTGATGCTATCAGAAAAGGCACCGAAGCACTAGAATACCAGGGAGGAGGCAAGAGAATAAAGGTTTCTTTGACCCAGAAGTGAGGGTATGAGAACTAAGATAGGACATCATCATCAGAATATAGGAACTGGCACTGAAGATTCTGGACTTTGAGATGATAACAAGACCAGGTATACTAGGGGAGTGGGATGCTGGAAGAGTGAAGAGCTGAAAATCATGGGGGTTGAAGAGATGAAGGAACTCTAACATTTTTTAATGTATTTGGTTAGTATTCAAATTCCCACAGGCATTAAGGGCTTAAGGAGAGAAGGATGAGAGCCAGCAGCTGAAATCCTCAGTGACTGTAACTTAGGACTGAGCGACAGAAGATGGGGAGGAAAAGGTGGTGCAGAGCACAGCTGGACAGCACTGACCCACATGTGTATGGGATGGGAATGCAATGGATCAGATTTGATTCTCTAAATTCCTCGTTTGTCAGGCATTCTGCTAACCTGTAGCAACCGCTAATAAAAGCACACATATACAGAAGACATGCAAGTACTTTAAAATTTACTCATGTATATGTTCTACTTACCATGTCGGCACAAAATGAATTCTTTTGACAATGCATAGGGAGATTCCTCTTGTCCAACCCTAGCTTTAACTCTGGCCCAGAGAGAATCTGATGGATCATCAATTTGGTCAAAAATATTACAACTATGATGAGAGATATTGACACAGGCATTGTTCCACACTCCTCCCCTGAAATGAAAAGGAATAAGGAAACCCCGGGAGTAACTTTTATTGTCATCAAACTCAAACCATCTCAGTCTGTGCTTTGCTTTTCATTCACTGTCTGCAGGTGGTAGAAAGAGCTGAATAAGAATAGGTTGGAGAAGCTAGACAAAGTAGGAAGCCCTTAGTTCGGTTAGTAGTACTACAAATTCCTTTACAATAAAAAGGCTCAATTGAAAATATGAGACCTACAGAAACCACATTGCACATCTTATTTTTTAAAATCTGCTTTTTAAACAACTCTAGATCCTATTAACATAGATGTATTACAAAGTAAGACTCCTAACAGTTGTCAAATTTTTTTTTGAAATTTATCTTTCTACTAAAAAGTACATACATACACTATAGGAACTAAGATGACACCTGAACTATTAGCTTTATATTTCATGCTTTAAAATGTCCGAAGTTAGTGATACTTCTTTACTTCAACATTGACGGGAAGAAGAAATAAGAGGCAGGAAGTATTCTGCAAAAAGTTAATTTGCATCCTTAGTGCTTCTGGATGTCTACAGCAGTCTGGGAAATTCTGCCATCTGGGAAGGGAGGATAACGGAAGGAGAACACAGAGGGTTGCAGAATGTGCAAGGACCTAGACTAAAACAGAATAGAAAGGATAAAACAGCAACACTCACAGATACTTCTTCACCTGGACGGTAAAAACAGGGGTCTGTGGCATGACCTGGTATTCCCAATATAGAACAGGGTTCATGTTATAGGACTCAATAGTAACATTGGTTGGTACAGGCACTGTAAGAGATTAAAAAAGTAAGATAGGCAATAGTAAGAACCTAACATTAACACAGAAAACGATATTACAAGATATCATTTGAATACATCTTAAGTCAAATATGTATACAAATTTGAAGAAACATAGAATTCACCAGAACAGATGCCAAAATAATTTAAATTTAGAGTAGATTTCTAGAAATTAAGTCTATTGAAAAATATATAAAATAGTTCTGATTCATTTTACATTACAGAAACATCATTGTGATGGAAGGGAAACAAATATAGCATGAGGCAGTAAGTGCCCATGATGTCTCAGGGGTTTTTATAAATAAATGCACTATCTATTGTAATAATAATCCTCAATTCATTTAATCACTAGAATTTTCAATATTTGATACCATAAATTGTATTCAATGCCTAGAGAAGAATGGGCTACACCAGGGATGGCAAATTTCACTCTAAAATACCACCAGGCACTCAATCCTACACGCAGTACTATTACACATCTTTAACACCTTTTCTATACAACAGGAATAGATGCCTGAAGACTGACTGAAGAAGCCACTGGCCATTACAGTTTCATCAACATTTTGTTCTCTGGGGTGTGGAGGGCTTTTTACAAAAGCTATACCTGACATTTCTTCTTGCCTTTGCTCTTTTAAACCATTAAAGAAACCATGTGTTGATAAGGCTTGAACAAGTCACATGAAAACAGGTAGAAATCATTTTAACTTCTTCTAATCAAACACTACTAAAATTTAGTTATTAAAAGTAGCCATATTTTCCCCTGCTCAGTGTAAAAAATTGTCATCTACCACCCCCTGGAAAATTGAACCCACACATATCCCCTCCCTCCCTTCACTTCTTTATTTGAACATGAAGGCACAGAATTAGTGATACGATCTGAAATTTAAGGTTAATCAATCCTGCCTAGCTGGAAAAGTCCATTAAACACATTTTATTTATACAATTGAAGTAAATAAATGAATGGTGATGTGGACAGGAACGGTGGCTTCCAAACATAACTTATCATCATTCTCAAAAACTGTGAGAGAGCCAGACATTTATGTTTTTTCAAAACACCCTAGAGATAATGATGATCACTTAGTTTTATGTCAAGTGAACTGCTCTAATAAGAAAAATACTCCCTGGCTTGGAAACTAAAAAACCTGAGTTCTTTCCTAGATATACTGCTAAATAGTTATCAGATTTCCTCATCTGTCAAGTGAGATATTAATTTCCTATACATATTTGCTTACTACTGAAGGGAATACCTATTACACTTTTCCTAAAACAAAAATTTCAATATATATTATTGAATACAAAACTGGCACATTAATTTACAATTATTTAACACATGTATTATCTTTTCAAAGCAGAACAGGGGTCAAGAGTTATTTAGGTAAATAGTACACACTTACGGACAACTAAATTCTAGTGCCTTTCTATTCTTTTTCTGATTATTTTTTCTTTTATGGCAGTGGTTCTCAGCAAGAGGTGACTTTGTTACCAGGTGACAACAGGCTATGTCTGTGGACATTTTTGGTTCTTCACAACTGGAGAGGATGGCGGGGATACTACTGGCATCTGGAGGACAGAGGCCAGGGATGCTGCTAAATATCCTACAATGCACAGGACAGCTTTCCACAACAAAAAAAGAATCCAGTCCAAGATACCAAAAGTGTCAAGGTTGAGAAACCCTGCTTTATATGTTTATAATTTTAGGTTTTTGTTTTTGTTTTAAATTTAGAAGGAAAGGTCCGGCCCGTGGCTCACTCGGGAGAGTGTGGTGCTGATAACACCAAGGCCAAGGGTTCGGATCCCATATAGGGATGGCCGGTTCGCTCACTGGCTGAGCGTGGTGCTGACAACACCAAGTCAAGGGTTAAGATCCCCTTGCCAGTCATCTTTAAAAAAAAAAAAAAAAAAAAATTTAGAAGGAAAAACTAATTTTAAAACAGAATTCTATACACACACACACTCTCTCTCTCTCTCTCACACACACACAATCTAGTCACAAATAGTTTACAGTCCATTGTTTAGGTGGATTCAACACTTCTCTCCCCACCGCAACCCTGCCTGGTTCAATTAAACAGAAATATCAAATTACAATCACACATAAAAATATAACTTTGCAGCCAGATAAGAAAAATATCCGATACTAAGAACACTTGTCATGAATCTGAACTTCCTTCAGAGGCCATTGCTTAATTTTAGCATCATTTGCCTCTTGAGAGACTGAAAATTTTCAAACCATCAGGTCCTAGTTTCTTTTTGTTTAACAGTTCTTCCCACAATTTATCAGCCTACTCTTACATTCCACTGTAAGAAGCAAGAAGAAAGTAGGTGGCACCTTCAACACTTTGCTTGGAAACCTCCTGAGCTAGATCCTGCAGCTCATCAGGCATACTTTTACTTTCCATGTTAATGAAGGCAATAGAGTTGCTAAACTTTCTGCCACTACAAAGCTAGGATCCCTTCCTCCAGTTTCCAATGACAAGCCCCTCTTTTTAATTATTCCCAACAGGAATGACTTTATAATTGTATATACTCAATCTGAAATTCCTGTGTTTGAGGAAAAGGCTATAGAAGTCAATCTCCATACTAGAATAGCAATTAAAATGCATTTGGACTTAGGAAGGGGCTTCTAAATCATACATTATAAAACCACAAACAACAATAGACTTGTGCAGCATTAGTTTTTAATGTGAATCAAACCATGTTTCCCATATTTAAGTAAAAGCCTGACATGGTTAGGCTACTACAAGGACTTAAATCATAGCTTTCAAGACAATCGAGACAGACAGGTAGTAGGAGGAAGAGGTTTCAATGGATTCTAGCAAACAGAAATCACTACCAGATTAAAGGAAAACTTTTGAGTATTTATGCCAAAAGATGTAACATGTGGTTTTAATCCTGCCAGTAGAGAAATCATGCAGTGATTAGATATCTGCCTTTGTCGTCTCTGCCAAAATCATAGGACAGACATGAGTAGTTTGGTTGTTAAGTTTCAGAATTTTCTAACCTGAAGTTTAAACTGTTATATATTCAGATTAAAATAATTAAGGCTTACAACAAGCTTCTATTCATAATACATTTGTGTAAATAAAAATATACGTAGAAATAGCAAAAGAGTATTATTATCTATGGAGTTTAAAGAAAGATCCTACTAGAGTGATTTTATAAAATTAAATCATCTTACTGATATTTCTATCTCTTGAAAATGTCCAGTCTTGTGTAACTCATGTTACTTTCAGAAATGGGCTCAGAATTATGTGGTACATTGTATCTGCATGCAATACCCAGAGTAAGCTTCAGCCATTTTAAGATCTAGTTCCCAGAACTCTGTCAGAACTTACAGCTGAAGATTTAACAAAACCAGATACAGAAAGAGAAGACTCAGTTTTTCATAACACTCTAATTACAATGTAGAAAAAAGGAGAGCCAACTGTTTTCTCAGAAAGTTGATAAAAAGCCAGAAGAAACAGGATATGAAAAAAGAACAAAGGAGAGAACAGATAAGACAAGTGGAGATCAGCAGGTGATGGAGCAGTGCCATTGACAGGACAATGAGAATGTCACAAAGAAACAAAAAACAGCAGCCAGAACAGCTCTGCAATAATTGCTGGTGAATGTAGCGCAGAGGGAGAGGCTGCTATGGGTCAAATATATTCACCAAAGTTCATGTACTAGAAACCTGATCCCCACTGTAACAGCACTAAGAGGGCGGAAGATCCAATTATGGTATTTGAAAGGTGGGGCCTTTAAAAGGTGATGGATCACGAGGACTGTGACCTTGTGAACGGATTGATCCATTCACAGAGTAAGGGGTTGACTGTTTAATGGGTGGTCATGGATGTGGTTCTGATGGTTTTATAAGGAGAGCTCTCTTGCTCAGCCCATTCTCGCCATGTGACACCCTGGCTGTCATGGGACCTTGTAGATAGTTCCCACCCAAAAGAAGGCCCTCACCGGATGCACGCCCTGGACCAAGGACTTCCCAGCCTCCAAAACTGTAAGAAATAAATTTCATTTCTTCTTTAATTACCCAGTTTCAGGTATTCTGTTATAAGCAACAGAAACAAACTAATACAGAAGCAAATTACAGATACCTGCAGAGTACAGTCCAACATTGGCACTATCGTTTGCATGGATGGGTGATAAGAATTGGGGCTGCCACCTATGCTCCATCCCATACTTGCCAATCTGTGCCTCTTTTGAAAGAAGGACAGCCTGAAGAGTGCATCACCTACTTTAACACACTAGCATACAAAAACTGTATGAAAGACACCTAAGGCAGAACAGAGCTATGGACTGCAAACATCATTCGACAATCTCATCTGCCTCCCTATGGGAAGAACAAACCGAGAAGCATATAGAAGGATAAAGGGGCCAGTAGTCAAATTGTTTTTGTGGCAAGTTATTGTATGCTACAACTCAAAAAAAAAAAAAAAAAAAAAAAAAAAGCTTCAAATTAAAGCATCTGAACCCTTTTCTGAATAAACAACTCTTGGAGAAAAGATCTAACACCTTTCCCATGTTAAAGATACACAGCCCTGGGTATTTTCACAAAGGTTTCTTCTGCTCTGCAAACTAAGAAATGGCGTAAGAAATCCAGACTGAATAAGAGAAAAATATCAAATCAAGGCTTTTGTATTTTTGTCAGAATATACTTATGATTACAATCTACCTCCTGAATGGTCTTACAATGCTGATAAAATGGCTATTTTTCTTAATGCTTTCCAACTTTCATCTTAGCAAACAGCAGCATTCTCTGGATTTAAACAGAATGACATCTTGAAAATTCTTGCACATGATATTTCAAAAGTTCATAAAAGTTTTTAATTGAAATATTTCTTGGCTTTGAAATATTTTTTGGCTTTGAAAGGAACTGTATATTGGCCAGTTTGAGACACTAATGCAAAAACAGTCAATTTTCTACTTCCTTCTATAGATTTTCTTGTATCTTCAGAAAAAGATAGTTTCAGAATTAAGGGTTCAATGAGGACACGTGAAAT